ATTATTGCAAGAGCTATGGCTGCTTAAATTTGATTGGGACGAATCCATTCCTCAAAATTTACATTCAGCATGGGAAAGGCTTTGTCACGATTTGTCATCATTGAACACCATTACCATTCCAAGGTACTGTCTAAAACCAAAAGCAAAAACAATTCAGCTCCATGGGTTCTGCGATGCATCGATTCGCGCATATGGTTGCAGCATTTACATTCGCGTCACAGATGATTCCAACCTCATAGAGGTTCAACTATTCGTAGCCAAATCTAGAGTAGCTCCGCTAAAAAAACAATCGCTTCCAAAATTAGAACTTTGTGAAGCACTGCTACTTGCAAGACTTTACAACAAAATTAAATCGCTCTTCGAAAAGTTTGATACGGACATCTATCTATAGTCTGATTCCCAAATCGTTTTATATTGGCTCAAAATGCATTCGGCCACACTGTCTGCCTTCGTAGGCAATAGAGTTTCTGAGATTCAAGACCTCACCGCAGGTTCACATTGGAGATATGTCCACACAAATTGTAATCCAGCAGACATTGTGTCAAGAGGCAGCACTGTTAAGGATCTCACTAATTCTATTTGGTTTAAAGGACCTTCATTTCTTCGTCAAGAGATGTATAAGTGGCCTGCAAACAAGAACGACAACTTGGATTTTGAAGAAGTCAATAAGGAAAAACGAAAAGCGGCATTCAAGAAGTTCAACCGCAATGTCTTTACAGAAGTCCTTACTCATGAAGAATTAGACTACGCCTTCCGATGCATCATTTCAAATATACAAGCTCAGTACTTTGCTGAAGATATTTATTTATTGAATCGAGGATCTATAACAAAAGGTTCATTAAAATACCTCAACCCATTTATTGAAGATACCGGTGGGTATAAGCTGATAAAGGTTGGTGGACGATTAGAATTGGCTGATCTTGCAAAAGAACGTAAACATCCTATCCTGCTGCCTAGCAAATCTGAATTCGTCATACGTTATGTTCGTTACTTGCATCGTAAGAATTATCATGCTGGACCTAAGGCACTAGTGGCACTCATTCGTTTAGAGTTTTGGATTATAAACGCCAGAGAGGTTGCTCGAAGAGTAGTCAGACAATGTGTTCACTGCGTGCATTATAAGCCAAAACTATTGCAACAGATGATGGGCAATTTACCGGTAGAACGTCTCACACTGTCACGGCCGTTTGCTCGCTGTGGTATAGATTCTTGTGGACCATTCAACACGTATTTACGTATAAGAGGGAAGCCTCCATACAAAACTTATATCGCCATTTTTATTTGTATGGCAACAAAAGCAGTACACATCGAAGTTGTATCAAGTTTGTCAACAGACGCGTTCATTGCAGCATTTAAAAGAATGATTGGCAGGAGAGGCTTACCAAGTAATATATTTTGCGATAACGCAACCAATTTTGTTGGGGCTTCAAATCAATTGACAGAACTAAAGTCATTCTTATTTAATAAAATAAACCAATCGTCTATCATTCAGTACTGCGCGTCTGAATTCATTAATTTTCACTTTATTCCGCACAGGGCACCTCATTTTGGCGGTCTTTGGGAGGCTGCAGTTAAATCCGCAAAAGGGCACTTATATAGAAGTTTGATGACTACTAAGTTAACATTTGAGGAGCTGTCAACAGTAACAACCGAGATAGAAGCTACTCTCAACTCTCGACCATTGACACCACTTTCGCCGGATCCTAGCGACAATGAAGCATTCACTCCTGCCCATTTTTTGATTGGGTGCTCTCTAAAGGCGTTACCGGAGCGGACGGAATTTGCTAATACTAACATGCTCGACAAGTGGTCCCTCATCATCGGTTTGAAACAATCATTTTGGAAGCGGTGGTCTCATGAATACATAAATGAGCTACAGATGCGCACAAAGTGGACCTGTGAAATACCAAATATCATGCCCAATGCAATGGTGTTAATTCATGAAGACAATGTGCCCCCACTACATTGGCAACTCGGAAGAGTTCTTAAGGTCATACCAGGCAAGGACGAGCATGTCAGAGTAGTTGACGTATGTACCTCAAAGGGCAGCATTCGCAGACCTATCCACAAACTAGCCATTTTACCCATTGAAAGTCCTTTCAAGGAGGCCGGGATGTTGGGTAACAATACAAAATAACATAAAATATATAATGTTCATAAATAACGAAAGTTTTTGTATTATTGGCAACCCTGTTGCACAATGCAAGTTATTACAATAAAAACGATCAGTCTTGATCAAACTCGAATTAAAAAACAACGTGTTTTTTGTCGTCTCTTTTTCGGTTTTAGTTTTACTAAGAAAAATTCTTCTTGGTACATATATAATGCAGTTAATTTTCGTGATGATGGTTCTACTGGAACGTAAAAGAACCCGTTCTTCAAGTCGAGTGTCGTGAAAACATTTACACCTTGTAATTTATCCAGAATATCTTTGATTAACGGCATAGTGAAACGGTCCTTCACAATCTTTTCATTTAATCTACGATAATCGCAGCATAGACGCTTTGATTCATCCTTCTTAGATGCTAATACAACTGCGGCAGCATATTCCGAAAAACTTTCTTGCACATTGCCTTGTTCTACGCGCACCATTACCTATTCGTTCACTATTACTCGGTTATGGTATGCCAACCGCTATGGGCTTTCATATATCGGAGTATCATCCATCATGATAATTTTCATTTCAATCGGTGACTTTGCATATTTCACTTGGTTTATAATTTGTAACTAACGATTCAATTTCTTCCTGCATTTCAAATGAAAGTTGTGCTCTGTCTATGTTTGATGACTGCTGAACCGCATCTGCCATTCCACATAAAATTTAAAATTCATCTTCATTTGTAGTTATGTCATTCTTCGTTTTTACATCTACTTCTTTTTCTTCTGAAACATAAAATTTCGAACCGTTTTTGGATAACGCAATGCTTAAATTGTCAAATACATCACAACTAATTACTGCTAAATAATCGGGGTCTTTATAGGCGACGATGTGAAACGTCAGGTATAGGTCAGCCTTGTCTAAAGCTGTCTGCAATTTTATGCTTCCTTTGCTTTTTATTACGTTCCCACCCGTACAACGTAGAGTTTTAATATCGTTACACAGGATACCGCCACCCGACGACTCGAAAACATCTTCGCGTAGTAATGTCATATCAGATTCGATGTCGATAAGAGCGCAAATGGGCGTTCCCAGAATTGTTACATTTCGACATGACTTCTTGTTTGAGATGAAGTGACTAGACATGTTTGCTACGGAATTTACTTCACTGCTGAACGATGAGGATTGCAATGTTTTTGCTTCTTTACATTCAAACGAGCGATGTCCGATCTTGTTACAGCGGAAATATTTGTAGTTAACAATCGTATAATCTTTTGCTAAGTGTGTCACATCACCACACTTGAAGCACCTTCGTTTTATTTCCTGTTTCGGGATTTTATGTTCAAACGATTTTGAGTTGCACACTGGAGCTTCGCCTCTACCTCCTTTGTTCGTCCCTCTGATCTTTTCATAAATTATCATACGTTGTTTCTGCTCGCTTATTGTTTGCGCTTCGTATAAGGTTGTTTTATTTAACTTCGAACAAAGTATGAAATTAGACATTTCTCGTCTAAGTCAATTGGTCGACTTATCTCTTGCAGGTTCTACACACATTCTCTGAGTGTTTCATTCGGGCGATGCATTCTGTTTCTTAGCATGTCGTGAATTTTTGCGATCATTTGGTCATTGCCAGTCATGTACACTTGGTTGGTTTCTGATAAATAGACGTGCAGCACCCTGCAGTAGTTGTTTGGCGTATACAAACTTTTGGATGTTGTTCCATCCCAGCGTTGCCGCGTTGTCGTCGAATTCGCCAAACCACTGGTTAATATCAACTGCATCGTTCCCTGTGAATGGGGTCATGCTTTCTTGCACGTCTTTAAGGGTGAAGAAGCTCCTAACACTACTGCTGTAGTACCAGCAGTAGCTCGTTGGATGTAGCCATATCATATACAGACACACCCTCATGCTCTTCATCCTAGATAAGCCTTCTGCACGCAGCTTCGTTTTTCCTTTTTCTACTTATTCTTATCTCTTATTCTTCTTGCTTCTTAGTTTCTTCTTTTTCTTACTTCTTAATTTCTTCTTTTACTGCCTGCTGCAGCTTAATTTTTTCTTTTAAACAATGCATAACGCCTTATTTGCTGTTACCCGCTGCAATCCCGGCTGAGCCCCCAAATTAATAGTGGTATAATTAGACTTTATGAAAAATTAATAACAATTTACTTAAAGACAATACACTATGAAAATAAAACGTCTGTTCAGCTTCAACTTCTTCGCTTTACGTCTTCTTTTCTTTCTTTGACAGTTTTTTTGTTTGAAATCGCAGTCAGAACAAAAGTACTGAAGAGTTTCATTTTATATTATTAACCCCTACATATAGTTTTAACAAGAGAATGTCAAAGTGAAATCTGTGGAGCAAAGTTGCTTTCAATGAAGCAAGTACTTCAAGTTCTTTTCTATAAAATTCGTGTTCAACGCAACACCTAGAAGGAAACTTTTAGAAGTATGAATTATTCCGTACTACCATTTTGGTAAAGGCTCGTATTCCTACTCTAACTGAATTTAATTGCAAAAAAGAACTACAAAAAATTTACGATTATTACAAGAAAGTAATAAGTCTCTGCACGAAAAATTCCGAATTAAAGAAAAAGAGTTCTGTGAAAATATAGAAAATTTTGTATTTGTTATCGTAGCACCTACTGCTGTTGAATAAATAAAAATCCAAGAAGATAATGATTTCTTTTTTCAACAAAGACAGAAAGGTCAACCAGGATGCGTGGAAGGCATTGAAAACAAAATAATAGAAAAAAAGCGCCAGCCAGAACTATTTGAGAAATGTGATAAACATAAACATAGATATATGAAAGATATATAGTTACATATTAGCATAGATGCTAATATTTCTCTATCCAAATTGCCACAATGTATCAAGCACATTGTTGCAAAAAAATAGGTGACATCATAAATTTCAATATAAATTCCTTATACTTTATAAAATTCTTACCAAAATAAATATAAATTAAATACTAAAACGACCACACAGAATTTATTTGCAATTTCCACCTATTCTCAACATTGTAAAAAAGGTTACACGTTAAAACACCAACGCTATGTTCTAAACAACAGCTTTGCTTTGTCATGACAACAAAATAATGTTTTCTGTTAAAAATTCCTGGAATTATGCTACATTCCTATTAAAATAGAAAGTTTAAGGTATTAGTTCATACAAATTCAGCTCGAAAGTTCAAATTTGAAGAGCTTAAAACTCCCTCTGTTAAACCGGTTATAAAACCCTAAGATCAATCCTGTTAATCTCAGATCAGTTTTGACATGGGTTCAATTGTGTCTTCTTTTTTTTTAAAATAAAAAAAAATTTAAAAGAAAAAAGGTTAAATTATTAAAGTAGAAAATATTGTGAATGGAAATATAAAACATAAAGTTTTATTTGATCGAAAATTTTGTGAATGAACTTACAGGATATAAAGTTGTAAAAAATTTTTGTAAAAGAAAATATAAGATATAAAGATTTATAAGATTAATAATTATTTTATTGAAAATTGTGAACAAAGCATAACATTAAGTTTAATAGAAGTTGTGAAATAAAACACGAATTTCATTGAAACCAAAAATTTTGAGATTTTTTATTCTTGTGTATGCGTGCAACCATAAATCTATACGCCAAAGTGTTCAAGGTAATAACGTATAAAAATCAGTGATGTACATTTTTTGTCTGTTTTTAATAATCATACATTAAAATCTATTTTGCGAATAGCGGCGACAGATTCTAGATGCGATTTTGAGCACATGCGATTTTGAAGAATTTCTATGTAAATTAGTTAAAGTTGTTTACTTTTTAGATTATATTTAAAATATTTGATTGCAGATCCCTCAACCTTTTGTGTAATATTTCATTGGAATGGAAAACTTCTACCAGAAATGAAAGGATAAAGAAAAGATGATCGACTTGCGCTTGTCGTTACAGGAGAAAATATCAAAAAAATACTTGGTACTTCGAAACTAGATAATAGCATTGGTAATAAAATCGCACTTGCAATTTATGAATTTTTGAATTAAAAATTCGGAATGTGGTGCACAAAATCGAACACTGCACTGTGCGAGTGGAAATTATTTTTAAAATATGCACACGCACATTTGTGGTGTTAAGAAAAAAAATGCACGCACTCAAATTTGTTGTGCGATTTTAAATTTCACATCGCACAAAGCGATTATTGTGCACACAGATTCGTGCACACACATTTGTGCTGTGTGACTGATTTATAAAAATGTGCACAATCAGATGTGCGAGAAAATTTTATGCTCGCACCGCACTGTGCGACAAAAAATTCTCTCTACACACGAGTGTGTTGCTCATATTACGATTGCACAAATGTGCACAAATGTGCGATTGCTCAAACGTGCACAAAGTGCACAAATGTGCGATGCACAAACGTGCACAAATGTGCGATTTTGCGTTTGCACCCAAGGGTGGAAAAAAATTACAGGAACTTCACAATTTTGTTTGAAATAGAAAATATTATTTTGTTGCAAATTTTGAAAAAATTGATATTTGCGTTCGTTGGGATCGTAACTTATGTTAAAAATTGCATAAATTAACAAATATTTAAAATAATTATTTTTGTTAATTAATGTAAACTAAAAATTATAACTGTCTTAACCTTATTTGTATTTTAACTTAAAATATTAGTTTTTTGTATATTACTTTGTGCATTTTTAAATGCAAATATAGTAAGTGAACTTAAAGTATTTGTTTGGAAAGTTTTGCACCAGTTTAAAAAAAATAAAAACATATTTTAGGAAGATTTTTTTATGCCCAAAAAATATGAAAGATTACGAAAGATTAGGAAAATATTTTTTTTGAACAGGTAGCAGGTATTGGTATTGGTGTATTTGTTTAATAAATTTTGCAACAGTTTAAAAAAGATAATACGGGAGGGCCACAAATAGATATTTTTCTTCTCCAGAAATATGTATTCACATAGGTAGAGTATCTAACATTCATTAAAAAACGCGAAAGATTAAGAAAATATTTTCTTGAACAGGTAGCAGGATTTTAGCGCCCTTTCTACTGTGATAAG